CCACTTAGTAAAACGCCAAAAGTTGACCTTTAAAGCAATAAACCACGCTCCAGTTTCCCACTCACCTCGGAAGGCAGAAATAAAGGGGAGAGGAGAGGCAAGAAAGGCAACAAATTGAGTCAACTCCGTCGCTTTACGCACTACCAGAGGTGGCATGAACACCTGTCGGATACAATTAGCGCGGATAGTTAATACAACGCCTTTGGACAAACTTCAGTCCTATTGACGCAAAGTCGATGCGGTCATCCTTCATTTAACTCACACCTCGTCATCCGAATGAGCAATTTTACTTTCTTCACTGCTCATTAAACTCTCTTAGGTGAGAGGGTGAAAGAAGGTGGAACTACGTACTGACCGGACTAGTACCCGTCCGCTCAGCTGTGAGGATAATAAAGATTTATGATTGTGGGAGTCGTACGGACACTGTAGGATAGCAAAATGGAAGGTCGTCAGGACAATGTCCCATTTTTGTTCTGCTTCACTTTATACTTCCTTCACCCACCTCAATCTGGAAGTCTAATATGTTTCTACTTTCTTCCTTTTACTTTAATAAGGTAGAACTAGGAGGAAAATGGGATTTTGACAAAATCTGATCTGCTCATTCTTAAAAGCTTATCATATAAGTACACTGAGTTTAATACCATCTTAATTTGTACTTCAATAAGACCGATTCGCTCTCTGATTGGCTCGTTGCTGAATCAAGTTGACCTACGCCATGTGACTGGGATATATGACCTGCAATTTTGGAGGATGCCAAGTCAATGTAAGCCTTTAATGCATTTACCAGTACATTGTCAGTGTGTTCAACCTCTTAATGGTCTATTAAATAAATAATGCTTGTCATCGGATGACAGATGTGGTTGTCAAACCGTTAATCACTTGTCATTATGCATTTCGTCTCAGCCGAAGGTCGTCACACACCGAGGCATATGCTTAATTCCACTTATGTGCGTGGGGAGGAGAATATCCGAGGCTGGAGACCGCGAAGTGATTCTCTCATATTGGAGCATCAGGTGGAGTTGGAGAGACTCGCGTTTATTGAATCGGTGAGTCGGAGAGGGATAAAGACGCTTTGAAGCGCCTGCTAGGAGAGCCAACTTAATAAACTTTTTTTTTCACAAAAAAAAACTTTTTAAAGTGATTCTTTCTCTCCCTCTCCGATTTTGAGGTGAAGTAACCTCACATTGGTGGACTAGACAACTCACCTTTCGGAAGATAAGCTGAAGGCATTAACGACCACTTCGGACATCAACTGAAGCCTTGAAAATAATTCGCATGGATGACTCCACTTGGACGCATTTCAAATCATGCATGAATAGGCGGTGCCTTTGAAATCCATAAAGTTCACAGGAAATAAATACAGAGTTAGTAGAATGAAGCGAACTGACCTAAAAGGAATAAAATTAACTTTAATTATTGGAACTTTTTTCGCCATCCACATTCAACCCTCCACCCATTGTCAAAAGGTTCTTCTGGGATCAACTTCCGTCCCAGAACCGAGCACTTCTGTCCACTCCGTGGAATTAATTAACTATACAACCGAATGCGGCCTCTGCTTAGATTTTCCATGCAGTTCAATTGTCTAGAGTAATTGAAAAAAACTGTCAGTAGACAATTGTTTGGGTGGAACTCTCCTTCATTTCCGTGGTAAACCTTTTCGAACGCAATCAAATCGTCCGCATTACAACTTTGATTCACAAAAAGAAAAGCAAAGTGGTGCTGAGAACAGCTCAAACGTCTGGCTGGTGCTATCTTTTACTCTTACTGCTTACGCTGGATCAAATCGGCAAATTCTATGGCCACGTTTAGAGTGGTGTTGATACGCCTTTTCTTTTTTTCAGGTTGAAAAGACAAAGCAATTTCTTGCTTTGCGTGAGGCGATCAAGAGTAAGAGGGAGGACGATTCATTGCAGAGGCTGGATGGAATGATAAGACAACTGCAAGGCAATCACTTGTACAATCTGGTTTCATGCTTCAAAAGTCTCACGCCTCCCAACCAATCTCTATTCGAGTATGTTATCAGTAGTCTTATCAGTAGTATGTAAAGAATTGTCATAAACAAATGCTGACTGTCATCATTTTTTTGCAGTCTGCGTGAAGTAAACTGCTTCCTTTTTAGGCTTCTTATCATTCATTTATTCGTGGTTAAAAGAATGGTGGTTGTCATTCAAACTGTCAACTGTCATGTCAATGTAAATGGACATTTTTTTGTGCCACCCTTAATGGATTGGATACTCGCGCACGAAATGTCAAAGCAATAGATCATGACACGATTATTACGACCATAGGCATGAGGGTGGATGTCACTGCATGTCACCTGCATGCTGTGTCATTTGTCAGACCACCAATGTGTTCTGTGGACTTATCAAGGTGGCATCACCGTCGTCGATGAGACGGCTGATGCAGTAATGCCCTTCCTGTGGGCACCAAAATGACCACTTAATTCGCCTAATTGTTGAAATTTTGTGCCTTTCTGACCAGGTAATGCCATTGAAGCTTCTT